AGACTCAATATTTTCTCTCTCCTGGATGACTGACTCAGTGGTGCAGGTATGATTTTTGTCAGGCATGCTGGTGACATACAAGCAGCAGCAAAACTCTGCTAATGAGGCTGGTATGAGATGCTATATTGCTCTGCTCTCTCAAATAGCCAGATTAACTGTGTGTTTTCTTATATCCTGGAATGTGGTCAATAGCAAACCAGGGGGGCACTGATTTTTAGCAAAACACTTCAGCAACTTACACAAGAATATACTGTAGCAAGTTCTAAAGTGCTTTTCTGCTGTTTCCCATCCAAGTGATTTTCCACGGTGCGCTTGGCCGGGAGTTATTAACTGCAAACAGATTGAGCTGCTGAGCACTCCCTGATCCAAACCCATGCTTGTCACTCAAACGCCCCAGCATGAATCAAGTACAAATGTGAATTTTCACAGCCAGTGCAGTTCATTTGGAGCAAGCATCCATTTAGCATTACACAAAACACAGCCGTCCACCCCTTGACAGTCCTTGCTTGTCCTGGTGTTTTGAGGGAGAAGAGGGAGGACATTTACTCCTGTTGGTGAACTTGAAAAGTATATTTTCCTTTTAAATGCCAACCTATTCCTTTTCCATATGTGTTTCAGAAATATCTCTGACACTTTGGCTCAATACCCAGGTACTCCAACTGTTATTCTAAGATGGTGGAAATTAAAATTCTGTTGACTTCACTGGAGCTTTGCCAGTTTTTCTCAGAGGAAGATTTGATTTCAGAATATTTAGTGGAGTCTATATCTGACACATGCACTGCAGGCACTGTGGGTGCTGGGTGGCAGCTGTACTGATGCCAGTAGCTGGAGTGATTGGGAAAGTGAAATTCCACTGTGTAGCAAGGGCTGTGGTTCCAACCTTCTCATCTTTCTCATCAACAACCTTCCATCTCATATGGAAATGATATATTCAAACTGTCTCTTGCAAAGGTAGAACTGTGTTAGGCTGTCCTTTTCTAACCCTGAGTGATGTGCTGAATGGTTTGAAGTGTATCCTGACTCCAGGACCCTGAGCACTTTGAGTCCAGCAGAGCAGAGGTTTGTGCCTTGGCTTCCTGAATTTCCTGTTGGGGCCATGGTCTCAGGTCACTACATCCTGAAAGCAACTCTTTTTCACATCACAGATCTCAAAGAATATCTTGACGTAGCAAAATTGAAGTGCTATTTTTTTCATCCTCTGAGAGGGAGGCAGAGCCTCAAATTTTCCATGCTTTTTCCAAATGTATCATCTTTTCTATTAAAATTTACTGTGTCTCCTTCAATTTTCTTTTATCCTTTAACACCTCTCATAGTTTCACAAAAAAAAAAAAAAAAAACCCATAAAAAACGCCCACAAAAACCACAAAAAAAAAAAATCATTGTTCCAGCAAGCACAAAGCAATGGAACTAATGTAGGTTTCATGTCACAACAACTTGGGCATATAACTAATGAATCCATTTGTAAGATACCTGCTGACCTCCACAGACAAGTAGTTCCTGATCCTGACTTTATTTGGTTGTTCCTGTGCATAATCCCACTGCAGACACTGAAATTAATGATAAATCTCCTGTGGATTTCAGTGTGTGCAGGTTGAGGCCCTCATTTATTAAGGGTTTATCATTGCAAATTTACTGAAAACACCAAACCCTCACAGCTCCTGTGGGCCTCATTTTCAGTCCTGCAGAGGCATTATAATACTATGTTTGCTATAGCTGAGTCATTCCCATGACAACAAATGGAGTCTAAAATACAACATTCCGACCTTGCTGTGTGATCAAACAAAACAGAGAAACTGGGCATTGAAGACAAAAGTTCATTGAACACAAATACCTATAAACCCAGCAAGCAGGTGGGAGAGAAGCAGCAGATAAGGGCAAAATACTTCCCCTTCTCTGAAGTTCTGCCCCAAGATAACTCTCTCTGCACAGATTTTTCTAATGCTAGGAGCTGCTGTGGTTAGCTTGAGTATCCTCCTCTGCAGAAAGCTCAGAGGAGAGCGAATGAGAGCTTGTTAATAAATCCATTTTGCATTAATTCTTTCTGGAGGATGAGCTGTGAAAAGCAATACTATTTTACAGCTTCTTCCAGTGTATCTAAGAGCACTTTGAGAAATGATGAGATTGAAGTGTTATTTTGGTTATTAATAGTTTTTGCTGTAGAAATCAAGGCAGAGTCAGTGAACTGCTCTGAAGCAAATGCTGGATTGGTAGAAGAATCAGGGTAGGAAAAACAGTGGCTAACTGGCAGTGTGGTCATCACAGGAAAGCAGAGACAGGCCTGAGTGACCATAAGATATCTGCTGCCTGGGCTGTGGCAGGAACAGAGACAAGGCACAACTGGAAATGCTCACATTTCCCACCAGTTCACAGGCAGAAAGATGTAACAGGGAAGAGAAGTGTTGCAGCTGGCCTGGCAATGAAGGAACAGTTTCAGATTGAAGTAGCTTTCAAAACAAATTCTAAAGGATTGACAGCAGTAAAACAGAAGTTGTAGGTGTTGCTAGGAAGACTGGTGGTCCTCACAACTGTCAGTGAGAGGTAGATTGATTTCTAAGTCCCAGTTTGAGTTTGTGAGAGCATTTTTGAGGATTCCAGTTGGAATGAAGTATTGAACTCTCAGGATCCTTCCCTGTAACATCAGCATTAAGACTTACTGTGCCTTAGTGGTAGGACAAAGAGCATGGTTCGAATTGTCCCAGTGCAGAATTAACTCAAATTACATCTTCCACTGACAGAACTCCAGCTGTTAATATCTACAAACAAGCTTGTTCATGCATTCTGGAACCTGGCAAGAGTCTTTTTCCTTATAGATGGGGCACTCTGATAAATCTATTTGTCATATTGCTACATATTATGGATGCAATGAAGAATGAAGAATGAGAAATCTTTGTCAATGAAAACAGAACTGTGGATGACAGTGCACTGATTTACACTGAACACACCAAGAAGAGGCTGATCCATTGTATTGCAGAGACAAGCCCAGAGAGCTCCAGCCAATTGTTGGGGCTGCTGCTCTTGTGCACAATAGATTTAGCATTGAGTGTAAACACAGAAGACCCTCCAGGTTTTGTTCAGCCCTTAGGTAGATGATATCCAGGGGATGAGAGGGATTTCAGGTCTGGACTAGAGAAGGAAAAGTCTCATTAGTATAGCTATTTATGCCTTGTACTCTGAGAACAGGTCACAGTAGGAGCAGGTGATATCTGTGAAGCAGCCAGGTTGGTGAAGCTTTGATTTCAAGGTAAATAATCACTGTACCCAGGGAACTTGCCCAGTGGTGCTCAAAGTCAGTCCCACTCACACCCTGGCATGTAGACTTTATCCACTGACAGTTCCAGTGCCCAGGGACCTGAGTTTTCCCTGAGTTGGCCTCAGGGAACAAATTACAGCCCAGGTACTGTGGGCCAGAAATGATAGAGCAAGCAGCTGTTGCTCTGCTGCCTCTACATCTGCCTGACACAATAATTAAATCTCAGCAGCCATTCAATATAATGGAAGCAAACCAACTACAACAGAAGGACTTTGCAGCACACCTGTCTCATGATGTGTAACTGCAGCTGTGTATTTACCTTTGTAATTAATTCTGTAGGCATTTATATGGAGTTACAAGGGACTGAGTAATTTAGAAAGCAGTGGAAGAGATCATTAAAAAAAGTGAAAGGCATAATTACTTTCTTCTACCATCAATCTCCTCCATATCTTCTTTGCTGATGTTTCCCATGGATAGTTTATGTTCATTATATTACCTTCTTATCAAAATGATCTCAAATTTCATTTCCAGGTTGGGAAAAAGGTAATGGTGCTATAGTGGGACAAAGGCATTGCCTGTTAAACACCCCACAGTGAGCAGAAGCCCTAATTTTGCTGTGGGACTGACATTGCCTGTGACTTGAACACAATAAATTAATTTTCTTTTGTGGAAAGTGTGGGCCTACTCCAGTGGATGTTCTGTGCTGACATTTATGATGTAGGCTGGTACCTAATGTAGCTGATTAAGAACTGTATTTATGTTCATTGCATAAATCCTAGTTTGATAAAATAAGTGGGTTATTGAGCCCTTTTTATCAGATTTCTTTTCAAGAGAGTTGATTTTTTTCTTTTCGGAAACTCACACAGTTCAGCTCATTGGCAGGAGTTACCCAGGAATCTTGCCAGTGGAAATCTCCCTTCTTAATTAATCTTTTCTGAATTCTGTAGACATAGATATATTCTCTCCTGGTCATGCTAAACCAGGTTACATTTATGAGATTAACTGACCTAGTCTAGGTTTGCACCAGTACAGAGCAAGGTGTAATGGGACTCCTTTATGTGTGTCCCCAAGGGCTGCACAGAAATAGGTGTGCCCATAGTGTCTCCTTCACTATGAATGTTGTGTTTCTCTCATTGTTTTGCATCACATAAAGTTTTAAGTTAGGTCTGGTAAGGTATAAGGCATACTGAGGCAGGCTGCCCTGTGGGGCCCTTTTTCTGACCTCCAGTCTTGCAGACCCCAAAGCCAGTGCATGGTGCTGCAGGGCAGATGACTTGGGGTTGGATGAGCTGCAAATGAAGTTCCTTTGTGCTGATGGAGAGCAGAAGCTGCTCCTCTCTTCCAGGCACCAGCACTGTCATTGTACTGACTGGAGAGCAGCAAACACAGACCTTCTGTGCTGTATGGTGGCTGTGAGGGGACCACTCTGCACCTTGGGTGTGAGCATGTGTGACCACCACTTGGGAAAATGGGCTTGGAAGCAATTCTAGAAAATTTCTAGAAAGTCAGCAGTGTTTTCCTTCTAGAAAACAACAGTTTCCAGCAGGGAATTATTGAAAATATTGAAATATTCTTCTAAAAGACACAATTTAACTTCAGTCACCTTTCGGCGTGCCCAGCACCCAGGCTGGGTCCTAGGCTGAGGACAACAGGAGCTGTTCTGACCTTCTCCCTGGCAGTTTGATGTGTTTGAAGTAGACCTCCCCAGCAATGTCTTTTCCTGAGCTGCTCTTTGCTTTGTGTTTCCCAGGAGCGCTCTGGAGGCCCGTGCTCGTTCCTGCATCGCGTGCGCCGGGCCGCTCTTCCCCTGCAGCTGCTGCTGCTGCTGCTGCTGCTCCTGGCCTTCCTGCTGCCCCTGGCAGAGAGAGAGAGCCACAGCTGCACCCTGGCCAACAACTTTGCTCGCTCCTTCAAGCTGATGCTGAGATACGAGGGCCCCCCTCCAACGTAACCGCTGGCACGGCACCAGGTGACGGCGGAAGGGCAGAACTCTGGTTTTAACTGCAGCTCACGTAGGTTTTTAGGGCTTCTAACAAATGCCAACGGGATGCATCACATAATGCAACTTAAGTTTAATCCCTTTAATCAGGTATTTGAGTAAAATTAATATTTTTACAATTTTTTTATTATTGTAATTATGTATATAGAGATTGTTTATGTGTATGTATGTATATATATATAAATGCATATCTGTGGTCAAACTAGCAACCACCATCCACTCATCCACTGTTTAAAGATAATTCTGCAATGTTTCTGCCATCTTTCAGCAAGGAAAAAACTGAAGGATGGTGTTGTGGGATTTTCTGGGTGATTTTTAACATCAGATTTTGGTTTACAACTGAAGTCAGAGCAAGTATGAGAACATGTGGTCATGCACCAGAGTGTAAACTGGAGACACAGTAGAATCATGGGTGGTTGACATTCAGCCCAAGGAAGATTTGGACTTTTCTCTTTGGAATCTTGAGCTGATTTTTCAGTATCTGGATACAGGGATTGCAGAAGCTAATAGAAATGTTTCTACTGACTTCAGTAGGAGTGGGAGTGGACCTCCTCTTGTTCTTATTTTTTACAAGATTTCTTTTCCAATTACTGTATTTTCCAGCCCACCTGAATCAGGAGAGGTGGAATACAGTGGGAAGAAAGCTGGAAAAAAAAAGAATATATTTTTTTAGCATCTCTCTATCAGGAGAACTTTTAAAATCAGATCATAATTTTCTGAACAAATTTATGAGCACTGAACAAAACCTTGTATCACCAATCTTGTGTATAACAAAGAGTAGGGTTTTTCTTAGATTTTTGTGTTTGTGGGGTTTTATGGTTTGGTTTGTTGGGTTTTTTACTTTATAAAGAGGCATTTAACAACGGATTATAAAGCCTGAACAGTGGGATGCAGCCTGGCTCAGTGTCAGTAAAGCAAAAGTTGGAAGTACTTTGATAATACCACCCTGGAAAGAAGATTCCTACCTAGGATTCTTTTGTATTAATGGTTTATTGAAATTGTGTAAACTGATTGTATCAACAACAGTCAAGCATAGATTTCTGTGTAATCTAAACTCAAAAATTATGGCAACTTATCATTTATTTACCTAAGCCTATGTCTGATTTATCAAATTTTTGAATGTACATTATACATTGCCTTTAATGTAAAAACAGTTCTCACTTCAGAGGGATGAAGCCATTCTTAGTGGTGTTTTACCTAATTGACTCCTGGGAGAAAAGGTATTTTCTAAAAATTTATGCCATTTCTGAGAGCTGTCCCTTATTGTCTCATGGTTTTAGCTACAGTAGTAATCATGAAAAAATTAACATAAGAAACAGTTACTTTCCCTCTCCTGGCTTTGTTGCAGGAGAAATTTCTCTTCTGTGTATCAGTATGGGGTACTTGGTGTGATTTTCTGCATAAGGTCTAAAATAATATTGCAGCTGACAGACTGAAGGAGGCAGTCCTATTAGGAAGGCACTAATTTCACAAAATCATTAAAGTTCTGTTCAAGAAGCAAACTTTTGTAGAATCAGGAGACATAACAGCATGGAGCTCAGTTTGGGCACAGGATTAGGAGAGCAGGCAGTGTGAAATAGGAGCAGTAAAACATAGAGGGGAGAGGTGTCCATCAAGTTGTAAAGCCTTAGAAAAGGAGTCACAATTAACACACAGGACAAGTGCACAGGCTCTGTGGAGGAAAAAAAATCTCAGAATCCTTTTGGCTCCCCTTCCCTTCATATTACCAATATGTAATACTACATATTAAACAGCTTTTCTTCAGTTTTCAAGGGTTAAAATGGGGTGAGTAACAGGGCTTCTACCAGTGTTCTGAGGAGACTCTCCCACCACCAGGACTCTGTCACTGTGTTCCTAATGTTTGTGACTATACTGGGTTTGCTAGAGTTGGATTAAAATGCCAAAAGTCTGCTAAAAATATAAAGAGTGGAAATTAAAGGAGAGACAGCAGGGATGGTGCAGGTATCACTCAAAGGGCAAGGGGAGCATGGAGCAGAGCTGAGCTGATGTGGGTTAAATCCGGGCTGTCAGGAGGCAGCAGAAGAGCTCTCAGAGCAGGCAGAAGGGACTGGAAGCAGAAAGGTGAGCAGAGTCCATGTATGCTGAGCAGTAAGACATTCAGTTTGGGAAGTGAAGGAAGGCCTGTGATTTCTTTCCTGAAGGAGCCAGATGGAGGGGAGCTATTATTTGTCAGAGAATGGGGCATATTAATTCCTTCCTTGCAGCCATTCTTTCTGGTGGCTCCCTCCTCCTGACATCCTCCTGCTCTCCTGATTAGCAGTGCAAGTGCCATGCACATTCCTCTAAAAATTGCTGCCAGCCCTGGGGGAAGAAACCCCTGTGGCTGCCCAGCAGGGAGTTAATCATCACACACATCTCCAGTCAAATTAAATCTTCCTTTAGAAAAGAACTGTGGGGGAAGAGGGGCAGTGACAAAACCTGCTCTGTGTGGTTGTGGATGTGTGTAGGTGTGCACACACCTTTCTGTGATGTAGCTACATTGCAGTTCTCTGGGTTTTGCTGAGCTGATCCAGGTGATGAAAGTAAAATACCAGTGAGAAAGTAAAAATAATGAGGAAAAATAAAGCTGCAAATGGAAGTCAGTAGGGAGATGGAAATTTTTTTTTCTATGAAAGCACAAAATCTCACATCAGATTTCTTTCTGCCAAGCCCTTCTGATCTGGGTGATTTGTATGGGTTCACAAATGCATTTGACACCATGGGAGTGTGTAACAGGGAGAAAAAAATTCTGCACAGAAGATCTTACAAGAACAACTGCGTCATCACCTTGATGTTTCAGTGTGGTGGCAGGTTTAAAAAAAATAACCAAACAACTAAATTAGAAACACACTTTTGCTTCTGGATTTGCAATCAGTTTATTCTGTAAGTCCCCTGTCTTGGAAAGTTTTGCTTTAAATCTCAGTCAATCCATTCTCATTAACTTAAATAATCTGAATATCTCACAGAAGTGATGAATATTTCTACTTCTTTGCAATGAAAACTATCCAAAGCACGGGACTTTAATGTTCATATCACTGAAAACAATTTAAGTCTTCCATAATGTCATTTACCTCACCTGTTCAAGGCAGGTGTGAGATTTTTCTGGCAAAGAAAGAAAGAAGAAAATTACAAAAGCTTGATGAGATGTAAATACAAAATTTACTTTTGTTTTCATTCTCTTGTGGGTTTTTTATTTCTGAAAAGCTTGCAATACTGATTCCTGGAAGTGTGTGTAAATATTAATCAAGTCAGTAATTGGAATAATGAGTCCAGCTTCCAGGAAACTGTACAAAGATTAGATTCCTCAAAACACAAATTAAATCCAAAGGATTTAGTTTTTAAGGACTGGTTTCCAAACCAGTCCTTAAAGTCTTGAGCACAGTTCCTCATCTTTGCTCACAGATGATTTGGTGGTGATATGCTCACTTTTGTGCCTGTAAAATCCCCAGCTCATCCATCTCTGACATCCAGATGTAACTGAGATGTGTTACAGCTCAGGTTCAGACTGGGGCCACTGCCTTAAGCCTTCCCTTGCCAAAGCCTGGGATGCACAGAGCCCTGGATGTGTCTGCAGCTGAGGACTTTCACTGTTTTGCCCCAATGCAGTTGCAGCCGCAGTCAAAGGGTGCTAAAAGCCTCTGAAACACATGGAGTATGTCTGGGGTTGTGAGTGGTGTGTGCAGCTGGCCTGCACTCCCTGCAGACCCCCAACCTGTTCACAGAACTCCTGCCTGCACTGTGGCATCCAGGAGCTGCTGGACCACAGTAATGACCCTGAGGTGCAAAATCCTGCACTCCACTGCCCATGCAGTACAGCAAGGCATTACCCAAAGGCACACTCCAAACCCCACCTCTGGCATGGGAGCAAGGCTCATTTGTAAACTGTAATTGATTCTGAAGCCTGATGCTTTCCAGAGAGTTTTGGCAGCAATACATTGAGGTAGAAAATTGCTATTGTGCCCCATGTCTATTTTATCAGCCCTTTCTCTCATTCCAGCCAGCAATTTAAATGATATTAAATATTATTTATATATGCCCTCTCCAAAAATGCCTGTATGAAAAACATCTTCAGTTTTAAGTACATACATTAGAAATGTTGTATTCCTCTGCTAACACTCAATCTCCAGAGCAGTCATGATTTCTACCAAGTGCTACTTTATTTGTGCTGACTGACAACTTAGAAGACTCAAATATTTGAGGCTGTAAAGAAAGCTATATACTAACTAATTAAACCACCTAGTGATCACTGAATAACTTGGACAGCTTTTAGAAATGCTCTATGCTTCTCCTTAATCCTTTTGTTGGAGTATTTGTGGACCTTGGAGAGAAGAAATGTCTCCAAAAATTGGCCATTCCTAGACAGACAGATGGTGATCTCTGCACATCAGAAGAAACAGTATTTTCTCTTTAGCTGCTCTAGACCTCAGGAGTTTGCTGCATCTGATGTCCTTTTCAATATTAAATAGGGAATGTTTTACTTTGATGTATGTGCATTCACATCTCATTAGCACTAAAGAGATTTGAAGAGTGAATTCATGTACAATAATTCTTTTAACTTGTGTTGACACAAGAGAGTACATTTCCTCTTTTCTTTAGGGAAAAAACCAACCAAAACTGCTGTGACAGATTCCCAGATCAAACAAAGCCTTTTGGAATAACTGAATATTACAGACTGAAACTAAATTATCCACCATAGGAAACTGGAAAAATAGTTTTGCCTTTCAAGAAATGCTGGTATAAAACCCCCAATAAACATGTCTTTGCCAGGCATCATAGATATCTCTCAAGTCATAGGTTATGTACCCAGCTGGCTGTAAGAGCTGCTTTTGGAGAGTTCACTACCCCATGGTCAGCATCATTTGCTAGGGTGCAGCTGAAAACACATTTGTCCAGAGAACCTACACCAACTTCTTCCAGAATTGCTGGGGGCTATTGAGGATGTTCTTAGCAGCTCCCAGCCACTGACCTGCTCTGAGCCATTACAAATTTATTGCATTAATTTATCTGTCAGAGGTTGGCAACTCTCAGAAACCAGCTTATTAAAATACTAAAGATAATATTTCTGGTGCAGGCAACATGATTCATTGAGAAATCAGTCTTGTTACTTTTACTATACCTAAAAAAAGATATCTATTGGCTATACTGGAATATAAACAAGTTAGTTGTAGATGTTGGGTAAGTGCAGGATGTTTTAGGCACGAGGCATTTTGACTTGTACATGTCCATTTAAGAATTTTGGGATCATGTTGCACTTGTTAAATGGAAAAACAAAACAAAGATTCTTGAATAAAAAAACCCACAAAACCAACAAAACCCCCAAACAAACAAACAAACCACCAAACAGAACACCCCTCGCCCCCAACCAGAAAAAAGTAGGAGGGAATAATCTGTCACACAATTGGGTTTTTTATTACCTGTTTTCTATCCAATTTAAAATATGAATATGTGTCTACCAGAGAGTTATCAGTAGATCTGGAAAAGAAGGAATATATATCAGAAATATACCAGTTCAAACTGTAGCCTAAGTGGCACTTCTGTTCCCTAACCTGCTTCAGCTAATGCCAGATTTTGCCTCATTGTACCTGTGAGATAAGAACCCTCCTCCTAGTAGAGTGTGAGTAAGGTGAAACTGCACAGCTCAGGGTGCAGCATCCCAGTGGAAGCAGTTCTTTCAAAGGCAGCCTGAAATCTCCATGCAAGAGGAACTCACAGGCCTGGCACAATGAGAGCAGCCCAGGACTGATGACACAGGCACAAGGGCTTTGCCATCCCAGGGCTCTGCCACACAGAATTCTGACAGTGGCCATCAGCACAGTTCAGTTTCATGTCCCTGGCTGTGGAAGGAGGCTCCCCTCAGGGTGATTCACTTGAGCTGAGATTTGAGCACTGGAAGTGGTTTTTTCTCTTCATTAAATACAGAAGAAACTGCTAAATTAAACCCCTCAGTGACAGGTTAATGGTAGGTGGTGGGTGCTGATGCTCCAGAAAAAGATACAGGAAATGCTGTTATAGATGGAAAGCCACTCATGATGGTCTCTGCTCAATCCTCAGGAGGCAGAAATGCATTGTAGAACTGAGGTGGGACTTTTTCTGTTCCTTTTCAAGTAAATGTCAGGTTGTCTTCAGTCTTCTGGATTTTAGGGGCAAGCCTATTCAGTGCCTTACTGAATGCTAGTGGCTTTCTGGCTTCAGAGCCATTTACACCAGCCAGTTCCACATTATTCCAAGTTGTGTGATAAAGGTATTCCCCTGAACTGGTTTTGGATCACAAACCTTTTGTTTGGGAAGTGGGGATGGTTTGATTTTCCTTCTTTTGGCCACTTTGTGCTAAAGGAAGGAGAAAGACCAGCACTACCCTTTCCAGGCCATGTTTTGTCTTTCCTTTTTTTATGAGAGCAGAAGAGATTTGGCTTTGCTTCCTTTCCAAAGTAAATTATCC